ATTTGGCAAATGGATGTAAAAACCGTTTTCCTTAATGGGAAGTTGGCTGAGGATGTTTACATGGCTCAGCCATAGGGTTTTGTTGATACGAAGCATCCAAATAGAGTGTGTAAGCTTGAGAAGTCCATTTATGGACTTAAGCAAGCATCTCGCAGATGGAATCTTTTCTTCGATGAGAAAGTCAAAGAGTTTGGATTTGTACGAAGTGAAGATGAATCATGTGTATATGTCAAAGCCAGTGGGAGTATAGTTAGCTTTCTCGTTTTGTATGTGGATGACATACTGCTCATAGGAAACGACATCCCGACACTGCAGGAGATTAAGTCCTGGCTCAAGAAGTGCTTCGCTATAAAGGACCTCGGAGAGGCTTCCTATATTCTAGAAATAAGGATAGTGAGAGAACGAAGTAAGAGACTAATAGGACTTAGTCAGAACACTTACTTATATAAGGTACTAAAACGTTTTAGTATGGAAAACTCGAAGAAGGGAGAATTACCGATACAATATAATGTCAAGTTGAGTAAGACTCAAAGTCCGAGTACCGAAGCCGAGATAGCAGAAATGAGCCGAGTACCATACGTTTCCGCAGTTGGCTCAATCATGTATGCTATGACTTGTACTCGCCCTGATGTAGCCTTTGCTTTGAGCATGGTCAGTAGATATCTAGGGAACCCGTGCAGAGCCCATTGGATTGCGGTGAAGAATATCCTTAAGTACCTTCGGAGGACCAAGGAATGGTTTTTAGTCCTCGGAGGGAGTGATGACTTGAAGGTGCGAGGGTATAGTGACGCCAGCTTTCAGACCGACAGGGAAAACTACCGTTCGCAGCCGGGCTGGGTCTTTACCCTGAATGGAGGAGTAGTGACTTGGAAGACTTCCAAACAAGAAACCGTAGCTGATTTGACGTGCGAATCAGAGTACATCGCATCGAGCGAAGCATCGAAAGAGGTAATATGGTTAAAGAACTTCATTGGTGATCTTGGAGTTGTAGCTACCATAAAGGAGTCCATGGAGATTTTCTGTGGTAATGAATGAGCGGTTGCCTTGACCAAGGAACCAAGGGATCATGGTAGATCTCGAGATATCAACAGAAAATATCATTTGATAAGACATCGTGTAGAAGAAGGACAACTTGTGGTGAAGAGGATATCATCATAAGATAACCCAACAGATCCGCTTACGAAGGGACTGAGCAAGGTTCAGCACTTGCAGCATGCTAGGAGCATTGGGCTGAAGGATGATATTAGTATAGATTAGATAGTGTTAGAAACGCGTGATAGATAAATGTAATTAACATTTGATGATTAAATAAAAGAGTATTATTTATGAGTAATGTTACTGTCTTATGTTAATTGTTTAGCTATTGTTTCATTTTGCATGTTTTGACTTCGAGAATAATTGAGTTTATTAAGAATAATCGAATTATTCAAATTGTCCACAATCGTTCATATGTTAGAAGTAGGTATGATTGAAGATTGTCATGAATTGGTGTGTAGATTGTCTAAATGGTATTAGACATAGCAAAAGTTTGCTGCAACGTTCATGAGTGCTTATGAACTAGTTTTGAGCATTGGAACAAACACGCGCTTGCTGGAATCACCTTATGGAACGTGATAAAAGGGTCATCGCAAGATGATAATATCATATGGTCATAAAACCTAGATATATGGTTTGTTATTTATTAATTGGTTGTACATTGATGGTGCGAAACCGCATCAGTAACTTGATGTTATAAAACACGTCGTTGTGTATAGTTGATTAATGAATAAGTAAATGCATATAAGTCGAAGTTTATCTGTTACTATCCTAAGAGGGTAAAAGCGATATCTCGGCCGCTCGATGATTTGATTTGACTTATGTGCCAGGCCCGGTAAGAACTGAATTGATGTGTTCGATTAAGTTCTATGTCAAATAAATCTAAATCGAGAAACCAAATACTGGACAATTGGTTCCATATGAATGTCTGCATGATATCTAAACAGAGTACTGTACGATCCCTTATCTAAAGGACAAGATTGATTAGATCAGAGTTTAACAGCATCTTTGAGAGCTACGATTGCTAATCGGTGTATATAGTTACTAGACTTATCCAAGTGGGAGACTGTTGGAATAGTGTCTAAGGCTGCAACTATATTTGGTAAGTACTTGACCCGATTGAGCATGGTCCTTTTGGGTTGCTTTAACCATAGCAACTTGATAGGATGATTTATAATGAGAGTTGTAATATTATATGGTATAATAATATTATTTGATTAATATAGGTCATAAATTAATTATGAATTAATTTGGTGACTTAAAGAGATTAATTAAATAGAAGGACTTAAACTGTCAAATGTGTGATATTTATACTTTAGGCTAAAATCCCTTATGGATAATGTGGTGGACAATTTTAGGGCTTAGGATAGACCTAAAATCCATCCAAAGGGTTATCATGAAGGGATTAGGATTGCTTAGGGCTTAAGTTATCCAATTAGGATTTAAAGGTAAAACCCTAGGAGCCTTACAAGTATAAATAGACCCTTGGGGTCATGGAAATCGGCACCCTTGTCTGTAAGGAAACCCTGGCCGATTTCTAAGTCCATCCCCACTCTCTCAAACATCCTCTTGCTAGTTGGTGTTTGTAAGCCATTAGAGGAGTGACAATTATGACTCTAAAGCTCCAAGAACAAGAAGATCAAACAAGTGATTCAAGGTAAACTTATAACTATGATTTCACAATGTTATTATGCTAGAATAACCATTATAAGTCTTGGATTCAAGCATGTTCAATTAGAGAAACCTAGATCCAAGCATTAGGGTTTGTATGTGTACATAGGAATGCTCATATGGCTAAAACCCATCATATATATATATATATATATATATATATATATATATATATATATTTATATATATTAGTTATATAAAAGTTGTATTTTATATAAAATATGCAACTTTAAAATGTGTTTGGAGGCCTGGAGGCGTGTAGTCAATCGAAACTCAGATATCAAGTTTGCAACCCATCAAATTTTTACATCTTATTAGAAGCTTATGTTTAGTTTGATTCTCATGATATAACTAATGTTTTGAATGTAAGAAAAAAAAACATTTTGTATTTAAATAAAAATGTGTTTTAAACGAAAAAAAATATGTTTATACGGTTTAAAACGTAATAAAAAAAATATATTTATACGGTTTCAAATGGAAAATAGACAAAATTGAACAAAATTTGATAAATGATGTTCGATTGAAACAAAAAAACATAGTGTCAAAATTGAAATAAAAAATTAAACTTGGTGTCAAAATCGAAAAAAAAAAAAAAGTAAAAACTTAGTGTTTTTCGTGCGAAAAAAATCAATTTTGACACGTCAGCATATCATGTGAGCATGCCACGTCATCAAAACTGGCACATCATCATGCCATATCAGCATGTAACCTGGTTAACTGGTCAAGTGGTCAGAATTGTAACAAATTGGTAAACACAGTGTCAAAATTGACACAAAAAATAACACGGTGTCAAAATTGAATTTATATGTAAAAAGAGTGTTTTTTTGTGCCATTTACCATTTTCTCATTACCATTTCTCCTACACGTATTGAGATTCTCTATTTGTTTTTTCTTTCTGTATATGTCATTTATTATACGTGTATGTATGTGAATCAACTTTTAACATTTCATTGTATAACTTACCGTAGAAACTTATATCTTTGTAAATTAATAATTTTTTTTGTAAATATTTAATTAGTCATTACGTTTTGAATTTTCAATAGTATTGTTCTTTATCAACTGTGGTTTCCACGGGTTTAAACCTAGTATATCTATATATATTAGGAGTTTGTTGTATAATTTATGCAATATATATATATATATATATATATATATATATATATATATATATATATATATATATATATATATATATATATAAAGATTTAAACTCATATTTTAAGAAATGAAAAGTTGTTAATTTGTTAACCATAGTCTCTAAATTTCAAAATTGACACATAATGTACATTTATGAACTATATAAAGAATTGGGGATTTATATATAACAAGTGTCCAAATTTGTCATATCTTTACTATTATATAAAATATATAAACAATTGGGGATTTATATATAACAAGTGTCCAAACTTGTCATATCTTTATCTTTACTATTATACAAAACATATTATACTTTTTCTAGAAATTTAAGAGGTACAAAACCAAATACATGTTCTACAAACATGTTATGCTTACTACTTAATTGACATCATATACCTTTTTTTCGTTTTGTGAAAAACCCTAAATTCCTTTACACTTCAACTGTCATTTCTCATATTGCCCTTCTGTCCCCTGTATACTCTCTTCAATCTCCGGCGAATGAACGTAACTGCCAACCTCTTGAAGTCGTCGCTACCTACACCCTCCTGGCACAATCGCGTTTGTTCGTCGATTGATGCGTGTAGTTTAAAAATTATTTGCTCACAAGAAAGCCGTAAGTGTTTGTTTGAATTTCAATTTCTCATGATACTCTATACACTACTAGAAAAACAACCTTTAATGACGCGCAAACAATGACACGCGGTGATTTACGATACGCAAAAGCGTGCGCTCTAAAAATAATGTCATCTCTTCAAACTTTTGAAGGATAGAGGTCACGCTTTTGTGTGTGCCCTAAAATAAATGTCCAAGAAAAAAAATTAAAAACACGGAGGGCACTTATTTAAAAATGGGCGTCGTCTAGAAATGTCGCTTTATATTTTTTGAATGAAAGGTGCGTTCTCTTTTTTTGCAGCTGGGGGGAAACGAAAATCCCAAAAGTTTGAAAGGCCGCCATTGTTATCCTCTATCTTATTTCCGTCTTTCTTCTCTCTCTCTCTATCAATATCTCTTTCTCTATCTCTCTCACTCTAATACCCAAAAAAAAACACTAATATCATCACAAATACTCTTTTCTCCCGCAACAAAATCGCAATATCACCAAATCTCTGATCCCATCTTTTGAACAGATCAAACCCGCAGAGGTTCTCGATTTCTCTATGTTGATGTGTGGTGGCACGAACAAAAAAAGGAGTGTAGTGCCTCTACCTTTCAATTTCATTTGTCGATTGCTTCAAATCGACTATTGCTTTCTCTCTCACAGGGGTTTCTTTGTGCTTTCCCTTCACCTCCGTTATAAAGGAATATATGTGGGATACAAAAGGCGTTCGAGAGAAACGGAGGACATCGATCAAGGCTCACTTACTTCTACCCACTGGAACCACCATATCTCCCAATCGATGTTGAAAGCAACGTCGACATCGTCGATAATGTCGAAGACAAGATCCAGGTTCTTATTTCTCCTTTATTCATGCCTCTAATTTCGATTTTGAATCCTCTTCTCTTCTCTTCTATAAAACCCTAACAAGAAAAACATATACAAGTTTCAACCATGATTTCCTTCTCCGGTGGCCATAGCTAATTTTGAATTGGAGGCACTTCTTCTGCTCCCGATACTCATGGTTCTAAGGATGTCGCATACAGTTTTATCAAATCTCGTGGCTACCATGGCCTCTTCCCTTAGATCGAGGTTCTCTCTCTTTGTCTCTCTCTCTCTCTCTCTCTCTCTCTCCTGTTCATATAATTTTCTTACCAGAACATTCGTTTATTTTAATTGTATAGATTGGAATTACTAATTTTGATGTGTTTCTTTATTCCTACATTCAAATCAAACTCACATTCAATCTACAATAAAGAAAGCGAAGCTGCACTTCAAGATAGTATTTGGGGGAAATATTGACGAAACATTTGATCAGCTTGAGAGTTACAGGACATGGACACTTCATTTGCTTCAACTAGCATTCTGGATAGACATACAGAGTTGTCCTTGAGTGTTGTTCAGTCAAGAAAAAAATATAATGAGGACTCATGTTGTTGCTTTGGCCTTCGATGGTGAAGAGGTTTGGCTGAATTCTACAAGTTTTGAATCTTTTAACACTATGGTTTTGCATCCAAATCAGGTGTCCATGATTCTGTTCCTTGTGAAAATTATATTTGTTTTTTTGGCCATGTACCTATATATAATTTGGTTTATTGGTTTGTTTTTGGGTGTGCAAATTGAGTTGATATCTGATGATCAAAATGGAAATATTCTTGTATGGGACTTGATTGCAAATTCTCATTTCAAGATGGAAGATGGAGTTATACATGTTTATGCAAGTGAAAAAGGTAAGTCTGTAAATTAAATTATGATTTTACACTTATACTAATCATTTGTTTTCAACTCTCAGATTCTGTTGATCTCTTTCCTATTGCAAGTAGTGCAACAACTTTTTTCATTGACATGCATCACATTCTTAAAATAATCTCTGTTGGAAATGTTCGTTCTACATGCTATCATCGATTTAGATTTCTTGAAGAGATAAAGTTTTCTTATATTCTATACATATATATATATATATATATATATATATATATATATATATATATATATATATATAGTGTAGTACATGAACAGGGAAATCCATTTGTGGTCTCCTGGTAGACTAATCCATGTTGTCCCAATTTACTGTTGGTGGAAACATTTTATAGTCTCTCTGCTGAAAGAATCCCTGGAAAGTAATGATTGATACACACATACACTGTCTTCTTAGAAACATTTTACAAGTTTTTATAGTAGTAAAAGTAAATATAAATCTGAGCAGAGAGAGATCGGGCAGACATAGGAATCTATGTTGATGGTATCCAGCAACTTCACAGAATGAGCACCAATCCCTGGAAAGTAGTGGAATTGACGGCTTGTAATGACCCCCTTTTTCCTTCTATGGAAGCAAACATTGAATCTTATTACAGACAATAACACTTCAAAAAAGAAAGTAAACAGAACAAGTAAATGTATGATACAGACCTTGAACCTATCAATGCTCACAAATTCTACATTTTTGCCACCTGCAGGTGTGGTACTTGTTAACTTGGGCATGCCAACCAGTTCAAGAACATTTGCAAGTTTTGCTCCACCCCATATTGTTGACACAATCACAACAAAACACAACTTAGGTATTTGGTTTCTTCTTTTTGATTTGATAATGTCATTTAAGATGCAAAATCCCTACTTCTGGAATCTCAAATCAACCCTAATTATGAAAACAATCCTGATACATACATGGGATTAATATGTGTCATAATTCATGAATCCTTAGACAATTGCATTTGACCATTTTTCTGATGTGCATTTGATAGTGTCATTTTCTTTGAATCACGATAAAAAAAAAAAACCTTTTTGGAGAATCCTTCTTAAATTATAGCATCGAATCCTACACTTGATCCCTTTGTTTGCTGCGTAATTTGATAATGTAGTTCATTAGCTATGACTAATCCTACAAACACATAGATAAATTTGATTCATGTTCCTTTGTTTACTTGTGTGCCTTTTTCCTTTATATTTAATGATGTAAGATGTAAAATCCCTACTTCTTGAATCTTGAATCAACCCCATATGTGAAAACAACCATTATGTTTTGAAAATATTAACTTTTTCACCTTAGAATGTAAGATCAACCCCATTCCTTGAATCTTGAATATTGAATCAACCTCATTTAAGATGTAAAATCTCTTTATTTCTAATGTGAAATTTAATTTTAAAATTAAAGTTACTGTTTACTAAAGACTGTTACTATTGACAAAAACCAAGTAATTGTTTCTGTATGCAGCTCGAAAGAGAGTTCTTCACCGAATATGGAGAGGCAGGAAGATATGAAGTTCAAGACGTGGTTGGAAAAGGCAGTTATGGTGTTGTAGGGTCTGCCACTGATTAGGCTTATTGATAAGTTTCAACTGGTGCCAGGTTTATTTACTTAATTACCCATCCCTCCTTTTATCCCTCTTTAATGATAATGATTAGGCTTATTGATAAGTTTCTGATTGATATTTATTAGGATAAGAATGCGGTGATAGTGTTCAGGTGGTATCCAGTTTGCCATAGCCCATTTGCCACTTTTGGAACTGATGAATCACAACTGCCCAATCTATCTACTGGGGTATTAACCAACACAGATACACATGCCCTAATAGTGAACCTGACACCTGAGACTAAAACACCCATAGTTGAAAGAATTGCACTGGAATTATAAGTTACATGGGCATAGTTGAAGGAAGTTCACTGGAATTATCTCTTTTTTAGCATGGAGAAGATATGGTCTGATGGAGGAGATTGTATGTCTCAGGGTACCCTTCAAAACTTAATAGAAACTCATGACAATAGAAATTGCAGCTTCTGACAAGAGCAAACTCAGTTTGTGCTTCATGTTTATCTTTAGGGGGGAACGACAATGCAAGGGCGTTCTCATCAAAAGGTACCCTTCAAAACTTGTTACACCACACTCTACACCTAAAATTGGTCCAAGGGCAACTAATGTTGAATCGTCAAATCAAGAAAATGTTGATCTTCTAATGTTGTTCTTTTACAGGTGGTTGGAATTGGACCTAAAGTTGGTTGTTGATATAGGAATTGTGGATGCTCCAAATGCACGAAAAAACATGTTTTTAAGTGTTATTAGTGTTGACATGTAGTGTTGTTTAACATGTAATGCTTAGGTAACTTGTTTGACATGCGATATTTTTTTGAAATGAATTATCGTTCTTATGATAATTTCGATATGTTGTTAAAAAAAATATTATTTATAGATTTACTAATTTTCAAATTAAATATGCATTTAATATTAAATGAAAATTTAATTTGAAAATTAGTAAATCTATAAAAAATATTTTTTTTAACATTTAAAATTACGATACGCAAAAATGTGTGTCATCTTCATTTATGACATGGCCTTTCTTGACAGGGGCTTCCATGATACGCATTGTGTGACATTAACGCGCGCGTCGTAAGGTCACGACGCACGAATGTGTGTCATCTTCCTTTATGACTGGGCCTTCCTTGATACGCATTGCGTGTCGTAAACGCGCGTCGTCTCTCTTTATGACAGGGCCTTCCTTGACGCGCATTTGCGCGTCGTCTGAGCCTTTTACGACACGCATTGAGCGTCGTAAAAGGCTGTTTTTCTAGTAGTGATAAGAATAAGCCTAATTTAGTTCATGATTTCTCATACATTTTCAATCTCGCCTACTTGAATTGTTGAGATAAGTTTCACAGATGTAAAGTTGTTCTAAAGGAAATAAATTTCAAGCATGTAAAGTTGTTTTAAATATGTCTATAACCTGATCTATTCTGGGATGCTATTGTTTTTAAGAAAATACGTTCTATACTTGGAGGAGACGTTTGCTTCATGCTAGGTAGTGGTGCTCCTTCAGCTGCAAACACACAACGCTTTATCAATTATTTGTTTAATGCAAAGAAATCCAAAAGATCCATCATACTTCTGATTTATTTTGACCCTTAGATATATGTTTCATTAAATTATATTTTTTTAGACAACTTAGAAACTTTTAAGATTTAAAAAATATCTAAGTTTGTATAAATAAACTGGGTTGGAAGAAACAAAAAGTAACAATTTTTTTTAATTGCTCATACAAACAAACAGTTTAGTGACTAAAATAAAATATGAAAATTAAATTAGTTTGATTGTCAACTAGTCATATCCGATCTTAACAAAGTAATTGAAACCTTTTTTTACTATTTTTTAAAATGGTTTGTGGAGTTTTTAGAATTTTTCCATAATATAAGAATAAATATGAAATTATGAACGATTACTCGTTATTATATTTTCTTTTAAAAACCGTAAAAATCTATTCCCGAGGAAAATACTAAAAGGGTGTTATTTAGTATCTTTTAATGGAAAGTATATAATATTTATGTAGTTTTTTATAGTTAATCAGGTTTTTAGTATCTTTATATTGTAAAGTACATAACATTTAAAAACAACAGGTTTTTAGTATCCTTTTGTTTCAACAGTTAATTAGGTATGTTTTCATGAAGATTACTGAAAATTTCTTATTCTTTTAAAATGATATATTTTAAATTATTGTGTTAAATACTTGTTTATGCTGGATACGGTAGTAGCAAACAGAATGCAAATTCCAACTTCCATGGATAAAAGTGAAACCGTTGCACTTTTAAATGCGGAATACATCATGAGTGTGACATCTGGCAAGGAGCAACTCCTAATTTTTGTTCTATTTTTAATATGATATTATATAAGTTAAAATATTATAATAAAATGATGATATTGATATGATTTAAAATATTTTTTGTAAGACATTTGACAATTATTATATTGATTTTTAAATTTTTAGTATATTTGTTAATGTTAGTGTTTTTAGTATGATATTATCTTAATTAAAATAATATAATAATATGATTAATTGTGGTATAATTTAAAATATTTTTGGTATAACTTTTGACAGTTATTATATTAATTTTTAAGGTATTTTATTATAACTGTTAATGTTAATATTTATGGTATGATATTAATTTGCTTAATTTTGGAATGGTTATCAGTATCCGAAAATACATCATATAATACTTTATTCCACTTATAAATCTAATATATGTTCTTACTTTTTACTCTTACAACACAATTTACCAACAAGGAAACACAATTTACCAACATACCAACAAGGAATCAGGAATGGGAAGACTACTTCATCGCATTGCATTGCATTTCTTGACACAAATTCAGGTTCTTTTAACTTCTTCTATCTGTTATAGCTTGAAATGTGTATGATATTTTATTTTTTACTTCTTCTATTTGAAGTGATAGACTTCATTTGTTTCAAATGATAATATTCTTCTCTCTTCTGTTTGAAGTGATAAACTTATTCCATTTGTAATGATAAAATTCTTATGTCTCAAATAATACATGTATCTATGTATAGTTTGTATATGTATATGTTGGGGCATTATGTGCTTGTGTATTTGAGTGAATGTGTCTTTGTGTAGACTTCAACATATTTTTTTGTTTTTGTTTTTTTTCTTTCTTTCTTTTTTTATATGTATTTTCATTTTTACTAATTAATTTCAGTATATACTTCAAGAGAATATACCCTTTTTTCATTTGACTATTATAACCTTTTTCACAAAAATTGAATTTTTTTTATATAAAAACAGTGTGCATGGCAATATCATCCTAAAACTTTAAAAATTCAATTTTTTAAATATAAAAACAATGTGCAAGGGCAATATCATCCTAAAACTATTAAAAATGAATTTTAGTAGTATAAAAACAATGTGCAAGGGCTATATCGTCCTACAACTATTAAAAATTGATTTTTTAATATATAAATAGTGTGCACGGGCAATGTGATCCTAAACTGTAAAAATGGATTTTTTTTATTATAAAAACAGTGTGCAAGGGCCATATGGTTGAATTAAAGTTATACAAAAAGTATTTTAAATCATACCAAAATTATCATTTTGTTATAATATTTTAACTTGGATAACATCATACAAAAAATAGAAAAAAATTAGGAGTTGAATTAAAGTTAATAAGAAAATCAGACCTAGCAAATCAAACCTAATCCCACAAGGTGTTGTTTCTTGGCAGATGTCACACTCATGATGTATTACGTATATAAAAGTGCAAGGATTTCTCTTTTGGTCATGCAATTTGGAATTAGCATTATGTTTGCTACTAGCATATCCTGCATAAACAAGTATTTAACACAATAATTTATAAGATCTAATTTAAAAGAATAATAAATTTTCAGTAGTCTTTAAAACACTAATGTATTACGTATATAAAAGTGCAACGATTTCTCTTTTGGTCATGCAATTTGGAATTAGCATTATGTTTGCTACTACCAAATCCTGCATAAACAAGTATTTAACACAATAATTTATAAGATCTAATTTAAAAGAATAATAAATTTTCAGTAGTCTTATGAAAACATACCTGATTAACTATTGAAACCAAATGATACTAAAAACCTATAGTTTTTAAATGTTATATACTTTCCAACATAAAGAAAATGTTTCGGTTACTTTTTAAAGATCAGGTATGACCAATTGACAATTAAACTAATTTTTCATATTTTATTTTAGTCAATAAACTGTTTGTTTGTATGAGCAATTAAAAAGATTATTACTTTTTTGTTTTTTCCTACCCAATTTATTTGATTGCAACTGCGAAACCTCCGCTGCCGAAATCAAATAAAAAATCATTTTGAAACTACATGCATCAATCGACGAACAAATGCGACTGTGTCAGGAGGGTGTAGGTAACGACGCCTTCAAGAGGCTGGCAGTTACGTTTATTTGCCGGAGATTGAAGAGAGTATACAGGTGGACAGAAGGGAAATATGAGAAATGGCAGCTGAACTGTAAAAGAATTTAGAGATTTTCACAAAAGGAAAAAAAAAAAAAAAAAAAAAAGGTATACGGTGTCAATTAAGTAATAAGCATAACATGTTTGCATAACAAATATTTGGTTTATTACCTCTTAAATTTCAAGAAAAAAAATATAATATGTTTTATATAATAGTAAAGATAAAGAGATGACAAATTTAGACACTTGTTATATATAAATCTTCAATTCTTTATATGTTTTATATAATAGTAAAGATATGATAATTTTGTTTTATATAAATCTTCCTCACTCTACCCTCAATCTAACACTCCACCCTTCTTCTCCTTCACTTCCATGTCAAAAATCATACACCAAACGAAACAATCCTCTTACCCTTCAGCGATTTCTGTCAAAACAAGAACAAAAGAGGAAAAAAAAAAAAAAAAAAAAAAAAAAAAAAAAAAAAAAAAAAAAAAAAGAGAGAGAGAGAAACAACACAACAGCAACCGGAAAAAAAAATGAACAACCATTCCTTTTTTTTTTGTTCTCTTCCTTCGCCGGATCTGTTAGCCACG